CTGACGGCCTAGTCCCCTTCGCCATGACCGACTGCTCCCTTGCCCGCCCCCACGCCTTCGCCCTCCTCGCGCACGTGCACCAAGCCTTCCTCTCCTGCCTGCTGCCCCATCCCTCTCCGGACCTCCCTGTGCCCGTCTTTGATTGGCTGCCGAGCCTGGAGCACGAGCAAGGTTCGGCCCAGGCTCGGGTACAAGAGCAACCGCAGGACCAAAACCAAAAATCCGGATTGGATCAAGGGAATATTCACGAGGAACTGCGAGGCCAAGACGGGAGATCCGGAGTGGGTCAGGAAGTTATTAAAGAGCAAGGGGAAGATCTTGGATACAAGATCAACCGGAGTGGATATAATGCTCTTGAGCTGGAGGATGAAGCAGCTTCTGCTTTTGTTGCAGCTCGATCAGGCTCAGACAGTACTCTACCAGAAGCAGATGCAGCAGCGGTTACCAGTGTAGCTGTTACAGCTGTACATGTTACAGATGCAGCAGCGGTTACCAGTGTAGCTGGTACAAGTGTAGATGTTGCAAATGCAGCAGCTAGTGCAGCCGCCGCTACAACCGAACCAATCACAGAGGAGCAGCAGGAGAACCAACCAGTCAGGGACAGTCAGCAGGCAGGGGAACAGGCCGCGGAACCCAACTTTGCATCTCAACCATTCCCTCGGCCGATCCAACGGTCAAGATCATCCTGCCACTCCGCTGCCCTATACCAGGAGCTACTGGGCCCCCATCTAGAGTACCTGGTGTGGATTGTGCGGGGCAAGCTCCTGCCTAAACCGCGTATGGACCTTTATCCAGACGCCCCACACGCGTACCTTCTAACGAAGCGGCTTATAACGAATCCAGCGCTGGCAGACACGCAGGCAGGCGAGGGGGAAGCAGGAGGGGGTGGGAATGATGAGGATAGGGACGCGGATGGATTGGGGGCGGCAACAGGAATGAGTATAAGTACCGGTAAGAAGGCACTAAGTGCGAGGGAGAGCCTTATGAGTGAAGTTTCTGACGCGCTAAGGGATGTGGAGGATGGGGATTTGGGGGAGGCACTGGTGGGGAGGCGGCGGGCTAGGGGGCAGCCGCCGCAGGTGAGACGGCGGCGGAGCAAATCCGTCGGCGAGGATCTGCTGTTTAGGAGGGAATCGGACGGTGGAGATTCGTCCGTGGGAGGGGGGAACGACACTAGTGATTCAGCATATACTCTTGGCGGTGGCAGTGGTGGTGGGTTTGGTGGTGCCTGTAACGGCAACGGGGGAGGGGAGGGGAGAGTCAGTAGGTGTAGCAGCGGGAGTGCGAGTGGGAGTGCATGCAGTGGGGAGGCGGATTCAGTAGGGAGTGAAGATGACGACCTGTGGTGCGACTTCCCTCCCTCCAATTCAGGCCTCATGTATGGCTTGGGCAGCCCTGTGGTCTCTACCAGGTCTCGGGCGTTTTCCCGGGCGGCAGGAGATGGGCATTCGAAGAGTGTGGTGATGAGTGGGGCATTTGTTGGGGGGATGGGGATGGGGATGGGGATGGGCATGAGGATGGGCGTGAACATGCACGCTGGGAGGCCTTCGGCTCAGCGGCTGCAGCTGCTGCAGCTGTCGCCGCCGTCTCTTGCTGTCTCTGCTGCTGCTGCTGGTGCTGCTGGTGGTGGTGGTGTGGGAGCAGGAGGGGTGGCCACGGGGGTAGGGAACACGGGAGGGGGTTGGGCAGGTGGGGGATTGCAACAGATGCAGCAGCAGCACCAGCATCAGAAGCAGCACCTCCAGCAGCAGCAGCAGCAGCAGCAGCACGGTTTCCCTCTCTCACAGGGTCAGGGTCAGGGTCAGGGTCAGGGTGTAGGGCCCGCTAGTAGTCCCACCTTCTTTCCTTCCAATCCTGTTAGCTCTGTATCTCCTCTTTCCTCCTTCCTGTCCCCGTCCCCCTCTTCCTCCCTCCCGCGCTACCACCCCTCGGCACTACCAGTGGCACCAGCTTGGGGTAAAGGGGAGGCAGGAATGACGGAGTCAGCAGCAGCAGCAGCAGCAGCAGGAGAGACGGCCTCCAATCCAGCAGTAGGTTCGGCAGAAGGTTTGGCAAGAGGTTTGGCAGCAGGTTTGGCAGGAGGTTCAGCAGCCTTCTCTACACGCCCAATGGTATTTGAGAACGAAATCAGCATACCCGAGCTTTCTGCATGTGCCAGCTCAGCGGGGACAGCTGCCAGCTCAGCAGGAGCTGAGGCACCAGTGAGAACACCAGCAACAGATGCTGCTGCTGTGGCTGGCACTTCTGCTGCTGATTTTGTTGATTTTGGCGGCAGCAATTTTGGCTGCAGTGATTTACTAGGTGCATCTCCAAGTGTGGGGGGTGTGGGGGGTGTGGAGAGGAGTTCATCTGGCACTGAGGCAGGCAGTTCACAGGCAACAACCACCAAGGACGCTTCCAAATTTCGCCGGACCTTCTCCAAGCCTCTCTCCCCGATGCTGCGCGGCGCGTGGAACATGTTCCGAAGCAGCGCCGGCACCGAGCCTGCAGAGTCGCCTCGGACGATGTTTAAGAGCAGCACTGCAGTTGAAGGTGGGACAATAAGTGAGGTGGGGGATGTGGGGGTCGACAGGGAGATCAGCACAGCTTCTGCTGCTCCTGCTGGTGCTGCTGCTGCAGGGGCTGCTGCTGCTGCTGGCGCTTCAACTCCTGGTGCTCCTGCTGCTCCTGCGTCAACTGCTGCAGCCGCCAGTGCGCCTGTTACTGCTGCTGCACCTACTGCTGTTGAAGGCACTCCTCAAGAGGCATTTGAGGAGAGGCTGTCCCTAGCAGCCATTGGCCGGCAGCGCTCCTTCGCAACTCCAGACAAGAAAAAAGCGGATGGTTCTCGGAACAGGAGACGGTCATACGCTGGTGGTTTTGGTGCTGGTGGCGGGAGTGGTGGTGGTTACATTGGTGGGGCAAGTGGGAGTCTGGATTCGGGTGGTGGGAGCAAGAGGTGGGGTGGGCTAGCTAGCATGAAGCCCATATGGCCTAGTTTCCGTTCCAAAAAAGATGCACAAGCTGATGATTCATAGCGCTGCCCAGTTAGCTAGCAACACTTGTCCCTGTAAGTCACCTTACTATGTATTCTGTCTGGTGCCTACATTGTGGTACAGTATGTAGTCTATTTCTCCTAGTCACTCATTCCACTACTACTTAAAGATTTTTATCTGCTGTATTATACCTTGTAGGTAGGTAAACCATCTGCGTCTAGAGCTGTTCTTTTTCCATGTAACTCACCCTGGCTTTCCAATGTGATGGGTTTTAGTCATTTCCTTCTAAAGCTCCTCTATTTTCCTCCATGTGAAGTTTGCATTGAAATGATTTTGTAGTCTGATGCAAGCTTCCAGCGTGCTCTCTAATTTTTACGCGGAGATGCATTCGATTTGCCTGATGAATATTTTTCTCCTAAATGCACAACATGACGGGTCCTGCGTACATGCAGAAGTACTGGAATTGCATTGTTGCAAGGTAGATAATGATAGGCAAAGTATTGCCACATGACTGTAGCTAAGCACCCCCTACCGTAGGCAGCTTATCAGATAGCCATTGACTGAGTAGCCAGTCGAGGGTAAGATTTAAGCATCAGTGCTCTTCGAGAGAGAAAGAATATTATGCAATGGGTCTTTAGATAGCAGTACCCTTATGGCAAAAACCAGCAGAAAACTAGCTTAGTCAAAGAGAACTAAAATCATTAAAAAAATCACTAAGACGCGAACGGCATTATCTCGCCTCCCTATGCTAATGTGGATTCACATCGCTTGAAGCGAATTGGAAGATTAAAAACCCCAGCTAAGGTTCCCCTACAAGCGAGCGCACGTGTAAAAAACGACCAACAGATACCCCTCAGTCGTCTAAAGCTCTAATCTCCAATTCCTTAGGAGGCATGAATTCGGCAGCCGAAATATGCGGTTCACGACGATGCGAGATTTTCTTCGGCTCCTCACCTGGACCGTGGATCCAAAACTCAAACTCCTCTGGAGCCGTTCCTGGGAAAACGGCGAAGATCTCCGTCCGCACAGCGGACAGCGACCACTCTTTATCGATCACCACCGTTCCCAACACATTGCCAGCGCACCGTATCTCAATGTCGATCATATTCGTTAAGTCCGCCTCCATTGTGCTTTATCCGGAGGCAGCAGCACATTCAGAAAAGAGAAGACAGAAACCTTTTCGCTGGCACCAGCAACAATGCTTCTACAACGCAACCATTGAGCCTTTCAGTCAAAACCAATGCCGGATTAACAGCACGCCGACAATGCAGGATCTACCGCGATAAATCACCCTGGAGAACACAGCCCTGACCGCGAAGCAAGGCTGTGCTTCGACGAGCCGCAATACTGGTCTAGAATCCAAACCCTAGTAGTGGCTACCAGTACAGGAAGAGGTTTGAAGAGGCAAAATCGGTGGCGGAGGGAAGGGTGGAGAAATCAGGGGGTTGGATGGGGGAGAAGGGGATGGATCTCGCCAGGCGGTGTTTGTCTGTGGCTCTGTATCCGAGAAATATCATGTACAGCATTTCCAACATTTTAATGATTTTCCTACCCGAGCAAACGCATGTAGGACCGTAATGAAAATAGTCGGATCCATCTAAAAGCCATAATAAATTGAAACCATGAAGTTCGAAGGGGCACTGCTTGGTCGAAAATGTTCTTGCGGGTGATTCAAGGGCTTGACTAGGGGGGGAATTTCTGCACCAGAGACTGTAGAGGGTGTGCGTGTGCATGTATCGAAGGAGTCCTTCCCTTCCAATCATCGAATGTGGATGAGAAAAATCGCGTAGTGCGGTAACCAGTGAGACGACACGAACGCGCGAAGAGGCAAATACAAAATATCAGAATGATGAGAAACGTGGAACACGAGGGTGTTATGTTATCCCATGTAAGATAGAACAATGATTCAGAGGCTGGTCGAAAAATATTTTAGATGGGGCAAACATGACAGAACCCATAAGTTGTGAAGACATGTTTATTCACAACACATAATATGATGCAGATAGCATAAAGCATCTTAAATCATTATAGCTCTGATGGAAGATCCTCAGTGCCCCATCTAAGATCCCTCTCTTGTGTCACGTTCTTTATAAGTGCTCGATGCTGGAGAATGTCGCTTTCAAAACCTCTCCTTCCTCCACAAACCACCGTTCCTCCAACAAAATAATCCGCTTGTGCACAAACCAGTTTATCCAAAATCGCCAGCATTCCTACACGCACTCGAACCACAGAGAGTTGCGCATCAGATTGAAGTTGTGGACAAGGAAATAGAGATAACTTTCCCTCGATGCAAAATTGAGTGAAACAACATGCCTGTTGAGCGAGTCTTACAGCTGAAACCTGCTGATAGAAGCGATTAAGAAAGGAGAGCTCAGATGTATTATGCTAAAGCAAAAGGGAAAAGTAACAACCACGATACATGGTATTTGAGTTTCAAGATGTCCCAAATCTTAGGCTCTCAGCATGCAAGCCAAAGGTACCAGCCAGGGTCATATTTTATTCGACTCAAGTGTGATCTGAGTCGACTCAAAATACACCTCAACTCAAGAGCAACTGCAGCATCTCAACATGCAATGCAAGACAATGACACCACCAGGTCATATGAACCGGATTCTGAAAGCACCCCCACTATCATCACCGACCCCTCAAGAAAGGTTGGGGTTGTGATGAGACGTCTCAAAACCAACCATATTTCACATGCCTTTCAGACGCCTCTGCATGCAAGCCCATGACACTCACCAGGGTCATATGAACCGGCTTCTGGGAGCAGCTCCTCTGTCATCACCGTCCCCTCAAGAAAGGTTGGGGTTGTGATGAGACGTCTCAGAACCAACCATATTTCACATGCCTTTCAGACGCCTCTGCATGCAAGCCCATGACACTCACCAGGGTCATATGAACCGGCTTCTGGCAGCAGCTCCTCTATCATCACCGTCCCCTTTATAGACCGCCTCATCAACTGCAACCCCTGCACTGCCGCGTCCACAAGCCTCTCTCGTTCCTTCCCCACGCCTCCGTATGCTCCTATGGTGCTGGCCCAGGAGGCAGAGTGTATGGTGCCATGAGATATGGCGAGGGTGGAGCACCCATGCTCCAAAGGGCCACCTGGGGAAGAGGCTATGACAGAAGGGCCTTCTGGGGACGGGGCATCTGGCGAAGGGCCATCTGGAAGGTGACTCGTCCTCAAAAGACCATCCGGAGAGGGGTCGTTTGGGGGAGGAACAGGTGCAGTGGAAGGAACGTCGGCTGCAATGTAGACTGATGTGGCACTGCTGTTGGCGCTGCTGTTGGCGGTGCTGCTGTTGGCGCTGCTGTTGGCGCTGCTATTCTGCTGAGCCTGCAGGATGGCATGCACTGCCTGCTCTGCACACCACCGCATCACCCGCACGCCCTTCCCCACGTCGCTCTGCCCGTACGGCGCCTTGCCAATCGTCTTTGCCTGGGTTTAGGGTGTGAGATGTGGGATGGATGGAGGAGGTGGGTAAGAGAGAGAGAGAGAGAGGAAAGGGAAAATGCATCAAGTCAGAAGGGAGGTGGGGGCTGCTGCTGTTCTGCTGAGCTTGCAGGGTGGTGTGAACTGCCTGCTCCGCACACCACCGCATCACCCGCACGCACTTCCCCACGTCGCTCTGCCCGTACGGCGCCTTTCCGATCGTCTTTGCCGGCATGAGACAACACAGTAGGGATCAAGGCAGGGAGGGAGGACAGGGTAATTGACAACTTCACACCACCGCATCACCTGCACGCTCTTCCCCACATCGCTCGGACCATACGGCGCCTTGTTCCCTGCCCTTGCCTGGTTGAGACGGCACAGTAGTTTCAAGGCGTGAGGAGAGGTCAGAGTACTTGAATGAGAACCTACAACTCACCCCTACTCCTCATCATCCCTCACCACCACTCACCACCACTCCTGATCACCACTCGTCACCACGCATCACCACTCCTCACCATCGCTGACCACCACTCCTCTCCACCACTCACCGACACTCACCACTCTATAAGCAATCCACTTGGACCGGTAGCGCACGGCACGGCAATAAAGGGCTTGGGCAGGCAGGAGAAGATGGCCTGCGTTGGGAGACTTCTCATCTCACTGAACCACTCAATACCTGCCACATACCAGCACTCACTATTCTTCACCGCTCACCACCACTCACCACTCTATACGCGATCCACTCGGAGCGGTAATGCACGGCAATGAGGGGCTTGGGCAGGCGGGCAACGATGCGCTGTGCTGTGCGGTGAAGAGGGGTGCTGTAGGGAAGCTGGCGCAGTGCAATGCGGTCTGAGGGGATGGGGAAGTCCACCCGCGAGGGACCGTGCTTCACCCATATGATGACGTCCTTCTCCCTCCTGCATGGACCAACCAGGTTACAAGTTGGATAAAGAAAAGGGACCGAGGACACAAGCGTGAGGGGAACAGAGAAGAGCAGAGCAGAGAGCAAGGAAGCAGAGCAGAGAGTAAGGAAGCAGAGCAGAGAGTAAGGAAGCAGAGCAGAGAGTAAGGAAGCAGAGCAGAGAGTAAGGAAGCAGAGCAGAGAGTAAGGAAGCAGAGCAGAGAGTAAGGAAGCAGAGCAGAGAGTAAGGAAGCAGAGCAGAGAGAAAGGAAGCAGAGCAGAGAGTAAGGAAGCAGAGCAGAGAGTAAGGAAGCAGAGCAGAGAGTAAGGAAGCAGAGCAGAGAGTAAGGAAGCAGAGCAGAGGAAGGACGAGGCAGTCAGAGGGGATGGGGAAGTCCACCCGCGAGGGACCGTGCTTCACCCATATGTTGACGTCCTTCTCCCTCCTGGATGAACCCGGTTGGCCAGGGGGGTTTAGATCAGAAGACAGGGGAGACGAGTGTGTATGGGTTGAGTGGCAGGTGGTCTTTTTGAGACGTTGAGGAGGTCCACCCGCGACGGACCGTGCTTGAGCCACACAATTACGTTCTTGCCCCTCCTGCATGCACCCAGGGCTTAGGGTTAACTTTTGAGTCGACTCAAAAGTCACCTCGTCTTTGCCCCTCCTGCATGCACATGGGGCTGAGGATAACAGAAAACGCAAGACAAGTGGGAATGGCGAAGAAGAAGGGCCAAGGAATCTGAGGGAATGGATATCCCCATCCCCATGACCATCCCCATAACAATCCCCATCCTTATCCCCATCCCCATCCCCATCCCCATAACCATCCCCATCCCCATCCCCATCCCCATCCCCATAACCATCCCCATTACCATCCCCATCCCCAACCTCGTTTCCCCATCCCCATCCCCATATCATACCCATCCCCATATCCGCTTTCCATCCCCCCATACCCATCCCCATATCCCATCCCCATCCCCATCCCCATCCCCATCCCCATCCCCATCCCCATCCCCATCCCCATCCCCATCCCCATCCCCATCCCCATCCCCATCCCCATCCCCATCCCCATCCCCATCCCCATCCCCATCCCCATCCCCATCCCCATCCCCATCCCCATCCCCATCCCCATCCCCATCCCCATCCATCCCCATATAATACCCATCCCCATATCCGCTTTCCATCCCCATTCCCATCCCCACCCATCCCCATCCCCATATCATACCCATCCCCATATCCGCTTTCCATCCCCATTCCCATCACCACCCATCCCCATCCCCATCCCCATCCCCATCCCCATCCCCATAATCATCCCCATCCCCATCCCCATCCCCATCCCCATCCCCATCCCCATCCCCATCCCCATACCATACCCATCCCCATATCCGCTTTCCATCCCCATCCCCATCCCCATCCCCATCCCCATCCCCATCCCCATCCCCATCCCCACACCTACGCCCATACACCCCACCCCACTCTCACCATGCATGCAGCATGTTGACAATGGCATCGCTGCGAGCAGGCATGGTAACATCGAGAGTGTTGGCGGCACACGGCACATGCCCCAGCGCATGCACCAGCAGCGCCGCCATCACTCCCCTCTCCCCTCCCACGCCCCTGCCTCCCCTTACCCCCCTGTTGCCCCCCGCGTCCCCCCCCACGTTCCCCCCCACCCCCACCACCATTCCCGCCTGGAATGGCCCCTTCACGATCATGTTGGGCGACTGCACCCACACAAACCCCACAGAGGGACGTGAGAGGGTTGCCCGCGCTGTGAGGAGGTAGAACTCCGGGGACACCCACTCGTAGGGGGTAAAGCGGGAAATGTCCCAGTAGGAGCAGATGGGGAGGGACCGGCCGAGGGAGATGCGGCTGTTGGCTCCCTGCGGAGAGCAGAGGGTGGGAAGAAACAATGCGGGAGTGAGGGGAAACGAGAAAGGGAGGAAGGGAGAGAGGGAATTCAAGATGGGGAGGGGGAGGCCCAGGGAGATGCGACTGTTGGCTCCATGTGTGTTTTATTGGGTGGGAATAGTAGGGAGAGAAGGAGGAGAGAGGGGGAATGGAGACATGGAAAGAAGGAAGTACCGACATGTGGCTATTGGCAGGACAAGGAGCTGTTTTGTACAAAAAAAAAGAAAGTATCTACCTACCACCGGCAGCACAGGCACCAGGATCCGCCCTGCCCTCTTTGCCAGCCGAGCTGCCTCCACCAAAACGGCTCAGCTAATTGCCTCCTGCTCTCTGAAGAAATCCAGTTCTCTCAGAACCAGCACAGAAACATCTCCGGACAGTAAAAAACATTCTTCACCTTAGCCAGCACCAGGATCCGTCCTGCTCTGCTCTTTTGGCCAGCCGAGCCGCCTCCACCAGGTGGACCCGCGCATTGACTTCTCTTCGTGCAACGTGTGTTATTCAGTGAGTGCATATATTCACAATGACAAGGAAAGCCTCACCTTAGGCAGCACCAGGATCCGCCCCGTTCTCTTCGCCAGCCTTGCAGCCTCCACCAGGTGGACCCGCGCATTGCTCAGCTGCTCCGTCACTGCTGCCAGCACCAGGTAGCGGCGGCGCTGGGAGAAGGGCTGCAGGAAGGAAGAAAGGATGGGAGAGGGCAGGGAAAAGGGGGATAATGTTTGCCTGCTCAGCTGCTCTGCAATTGCCGCCAGCATCAGGTAGCGGCAGCGCTGGGAGAAGGGCTGAAACAATGGGAAGAGGAGAGAGGGGCAGGGAAGAGGAGAGTGAAGAGCACGGTGCATTGTTGCCTGCTCAGCTGCTCCGTCACTGCCGCCAGCACCAGGTAGCGGCGGCGCTGGGAGAAAGGCTGCAGGCAGCAAGGATAATGAGTCAGAACGGGAAAGGAAAGGGTTTGGTTGGGGGTGGATAGGGACACGGAGGGATCAGCTGTACGAAAGTAACAGCAAGGGTTTGGAGAAGAATGAAGAGACAGAGAATGGGGATGAAAGGAAAAGAAAGGAAGAAATTGTGGACTGTTCTGTTGGATGTGTGGAGTGTGACAATGTGGGGTGTAGCAATGTGGGGTGTAGGAATGTGGAATGTGGGAATGTGGAATGTGGGAATTTGGGGCGTAGCAATGTGGGGTGTAGGAATGTGGAATGTGGGAATTTGGGGCGTAGCAATGTGGGGTGTAAGAATGTAAGGTGTAGAAATGTGGGGTGTGGGAATGTGGGGTGTGGGAATGTGGAGTGAGGGAATGTGGAGTGAGGGAATGTGGAGTGTGGGGAATGTGGGGTGTGGAAATGTGGAGTGAGGGAATGTGGAGTGAGGGAATGTGGAGTGAGGGAATGTGGAGTGAGGGAATGTGGAGTGTGGGGAATGTGGGGTGTGGGAATGTGGGGTGTCGCAATGTGGGGTGCAGAAAGTCACTATAAGTGAGCAGTCACCATACCGAGTATTTGTTAAACGGCACGCCAGGTATGGGCCAGCATGCTTCAGGCCATTCTGCTGCTCCGTTATTGTCACCACCACCAGTGTCACCACTACCACTGCTGCTGTTGCTGCTGCCGCCGCCGCCGCCACTGCTGCTGCTAAGACTAGAGATGTCTCCTCGACCACTGTTGCTCTGACCAGTCCTGTTTGTTGACACAACTCCATCAATCAAACCCCTCTCCACCGCTCTGATTTCATCACATGTAGATCGTATCCCCGCTAAGAGACCCTCCCTTGTGATGTTATTGCGTTTCAGCGACGAGATCATGTACTTGCTGGTAGGTATACGAGCCATGACGCCATTCAGCCAATCAGGAGAGCACACGTGGCCCAGGTCGCCACGTGCTTGCACTGAATCCAGTTGGATTTCTGCCGAACGTGATTGGTTGAACTTCCAGTCGAGATTATCCTTGCCTTTGAGAGCTTCGCCACCGTCGTCGTTGTGGTTACTGCTGCTGCTCGCGAAGTCTCTTTTCGCTGCTTCTTTCGCCCACTTCTGCAGTGCTGTGCGGAGCTCACTCTGGCAAGACGCGGTACCGGCAGGCAATGCGTTACTTGTAACATTGGCTCCTTCGTACGGTGAGCTGGTTACCGCAGAACCGTTACCACCATCTGTCGCACTGCTCAGCACCCGTTTGCACCGCCAAGACAAGTCGAGCTCCAGATCAGCCGATCTGTCCCGTGATCCCTGAATCAACGGCTGAGATGAACCCGGAAGTCTCCACATTCCCGACCCTCTCCCTTGCTTCCCTGATAACGAGTTCAAATCGCCAATGCATCGGGAGCTCGAGAGCGTGGCGACGTGCACAAATTGAGCCACCGCTATAAGCACAATCGCCTGAACGAACAACTGACCGAGCCACCGTAACGGAATCCTCCATCGGCCTCCTGAACCCCTCGATAAAAGAGATTGAGACCCAAGCCATGACCGTTTGGCTTGACGAAATGGCTGTGTCTGGCTACCTAGCGACTGATTTCCCTTGGACACACCCGAATTTCGGGACGCGATAGAGCTGGTGGATTTGGAAGCGGTATTTCCAAGGCGGTTGGAAAGCCGCGCGCTGGATCGTTGAACGCCAGCCATGAAATGCGAGCATCCCCAGGAAAATAGGCCTACCTCACTGATGATGTGTTGACAATTGAGTGCCCGTTGTGCGGATTTCGTTATTGTAAAAGCCTTATGAACTGCTACACGTGGATTGGACAACATCCAGTCATGTTCAAGGAGCCTCTATCTATTTTTGGCATACAGTAAGCACCCACCTTGTCAGTTATTGTTATTGTGCATATTTTCCATTGAGAAAGAATCAGAAGCTAGTAAAGAGATGCTGTTTGATGTAACGTGACAAATTTATACAACAAAACCTTCAAGAAAACTGTACATCTTACGAAGTTGCTTTCCTTGTTTTATCGAGCACATCCTGAGCAATCACCACACCCTCCCCCGATGCTGCTGGTATTCGTCGTGCTTGCTTGCCACATAAAGCACAAACCAGCAACACGACATCGGTCAGCTAACATTCAGCATATATGCCCTTGAAGCACACTGGTGGAGTAGCGGTGACCACGCAAGCACGAATAGATAGATTCTCGCGCGAGCAAGAGTTTCGAGCTCGACTGAACAGGGCTAGATTTCTTCAACGCACGAGTAGGTAGATTTTCGTGCAGGCACGAAATCCAACGGTCACGATCTCTCAAGCCATCATGGGGATGCCGGGAGCGTGCCATCACGACCATCCGCCGACGCAATCCCAGCCGCAGCCGCAGATGGCGGCGGGACCTGCGGGGGAGGAGACGCAGCGGCACGCGTTGTTCGGCGGTGCGATTCAGGCGGATTTTCCGCCGCGATTTGAGGTACGGAGGGCCGTTGGTTTACTGAAACCGTTTCCGGAATTGGAACAACACGCCAGCATGACTGATTAATGCTTTTAAAGAGAGCCTAGTTAATGCTTATGTACATTGGTAGGTGACTCAAGGTAGGTGACTCTCCGTATGTCGTCTCTCTTCGGTTTTGACAACCGGTTTTAGACTTTTGAGCATTTTCAACAACTGGTATGCACTCCAGCTTCCTGTACTCGTTTCATGCAACCTTGTTTCCCAGTTGTAGTGCGTACAGCGCAACCATGGAAACACTTACCCTCATCACATATTGCCATGTTGTAGTGCTTATAACGAATGTCTTACCACTGCTGTGCCTTCCTCTACTGACAGGACATCAGCAACTTCCGAGAAGTTCCCAACAACCAGGTGAGGTTACAAGCAGGCAGGTGAAGTAACAACCAGGCGAGGTAACAACCAGGCGAGGTAACAACCAGGCGAGGTAACAACCAGGCGAGGTATCAACCAGGCGAGGTATCAACCAGGCGAGGTAACAACCACAACCAGGCGAGGTAACAACCAGGCGAGGTGACAACCAGGCGAGGTAACAACCAGGCGAGGTGACAACCAGGCGAGGTGACAACCAGGCGAGGTAACAACCAGGCGAGGTAACAACCAGGCGAGGTAACAACCAGGCGAGGTAACAACCAGGCGAGGTAACAACCAGGCGAGGTAACAACCAGGCGAGGTAACAACCAGGCGAGGTAACAACCAGGCGGGGTATCAACCAGGCGGGGTATCAACCAGGCGAGGTAACAACCAGGCGAGGTAACAACCAGGCGAGGTAACAACCAGGCGAGGTAACAACCAGGCGAGGTAACAACCAGGCGAGGTAACAACCAGGCGAGGTATCAACCAGGCGAGGTATCAACCAGGCGAGGTATCAACCAGGCGGGGTAACAACCAGGCGAGGTAACAACCAGGCGAGGTATCAACCAGGCGAGGTAACAACCAGGCGAGGTAACAACCAGGCGGGGTATCAACCAGGCGGGTATCAACCAGGCGAGGTATCAACCAGGCGGGGTATCAACCAGGCGAGGTATCAACCAGGCGAGGTATCAACCAGGCGGGGTATCAACCAGGCGGGGTATCAACCAGGCGGGGTATTGTTATTAGAAAGTGTTCTTCTTCATTAAACGTCCACCAGGCTCGGTGGTGACTGGATTCCACAGTTTTTCCGCAGCCTCTCGTCGTTCCGCAGTCCCTAGTTGTTCCAAGACCTCTAGTCGTTCTCTCTAGGTGAAAATGATTCTGCCAGTACTTGAGGCAGGTCACTCACATCACACCTTGGGTACCTACCTACCTTCCACGCTAACACTCGTCGTCGCATGAGCTTTCCTTCCCTTCCCCCCAACCTTTCGTCCCTTCCCCCCACCGTTCCATCTTCCCTCCCTCCCTATTCTTCCCTCTCCCCCACCTTCTTCGTTCCACACACCCCTTCGTTCCACACACCCCTTCGTTCCACACACCCCGTGGTCCATGGGTTTTCACGCTCCCCACGCCTTCACCCCCTCACCTCACCTGTCTCATGGTTATCAGGAGGTGTTTGCCGGTGCCAGCAGGGACGAGAGCACAGTGATCGAGCTGCTGGAGGCATTTCCTTGCCACCCCCTCCCTCTCCACCCCCAAACCCAAACCCCCTCCGTCTTACCCTGCCCCATGGTCTATCAGAAGGTGTTTGCTGATGCCACTGGGGACGAGAGCACAGTGATTCAACTGCTGGAGACGTTACCTCGCCTAGGCATGAGCATCCCGCCCCGGCGGGTCGGGTCGGGTCAGGAGTTCTGAATCACTGACCCGGCCGAGTCGGGTCGACTCGTTACCCGATTCCGGGTCGGGTCGGGCCGGGTCGGGGTTTGACCCGATTATGGACCCGACCCGGTTTCGGGTACTGCGCCCTATGTCGGGTCGGGTATCTGGCCCGACCCGAGGGTTTCCTCTCGACAATGTTATCCAGATCGCAATCGCGCATGCTACTTTTCCCAGCGACTAGCATTCCGATCTGGATTAAGTTAAGTTACCTAGCTAGTGACGCCAACAGCCACCCACCAAGCAACAATGTCGTAATAATCTACCCTATAAACTGCGATAATGTTTAGTTTGTGTTCAGCCAATTGTTTTTTTATAAGTTCTTCGCCCTTCGCGCCAACCAGCCTAGAGTTTCCTTTCAATAAATGCAACACTGCACAGTATAAAAGAGAACCTCTAACCCTGCCTATGGGAGTCGGCTCGACCCGACCCGACCCGGCTCCGACCCAACCCGACCCGGGGGCGGGTCAAGCCTGACCCGGCACCCGATACCCGGGTCGGGCCAGAGATCTTTGATGTTCCGACCCGACCTGACCCGACCCGGAACCCGGCTGGCCCGCCCAAGTCGGGTCGGGTCGGGTCGAGTCGGGCCTTTTGATCATGCCTAACCTCGCCCTTCCCCGTCTCCTCCCCCTCCCCGTCCCACTCCTCCCCCCTTTCTCCTGATTCTCCGTGGCTATCAGGAAGTCTTTGCTGATGCCAGCCGGGACGAGAGCATAGTGATCGAGCTTTTGGAAATGAAGGCTGACGTGGCGGACGCCGATTCGTCGAGGTGGTTCCTGGAGGATCTGATGCGCGAGCAGGAGGCACAGCCGGGCAGCGTGAGTGACTAGCTGAGCATCAGATCCTCCAGGAACCTGAGCTGGAACGTGTGTTCTTGTATCGAAAGGGGTTTGTGTTCTTGCATTGAAGGGGCCATTTGTTCCTGGAGGATCTCATGCGCGGGCAGGACGCGCAGCCGGGCAGTATGAGTGGCTGAGGGGGCTGAGGGGGCTGAGGGGGCTGAGGGCTGAGAGGGCTGAGGGGGCTGAGAGGGCTGAGGGGGCTGAGAGGGCTGAGGGGGCTGAGAGGGCTGAGGGGGCTGAGGGGCTGAGGGGGCTGAGGGGGCTGAGGGGGCTGAGAGGGCTGAGGGGGCTGAGAGGGCTGAGGGGGCTGAGGGGGCTGAGGGGGCTGAGAGGGCTGAGGGGGCTGAGAGGGCTGAGGGGGCTGAGGGGGCTGAGGGGGCTGAGGGCTGAGGGGGCTGAGGGGGCTGAGGGGGCTGAGGGGGCTGAGGGGGCTGAGAGGGCTGAGGGGGCTGAGGGGGCTGAGGGGCTGAGGGGGCTGAGGGGCTGAGGGGCTGAGAGGGCTGAGGGGGCTGAGAGGGCTGAGGGGGCTGAGAGGGCTGAGGGGGCTGAGAGGGCTGAGGGGGCTGAGAGGGCTGAGGGGGCTGAGAGGGCTGAGGGGGCTGAGAGGGCTGAGGGGCTGAGAGGGCTGAGGGGGCTGAGAGGGCTGAGGGGGCTGAGAGGGCTGAGGGGGCTGAGAGGGCTGAGAGGGCTGAGAGGGCTGAGGGGGCTGAGAGGGCTGAGGGGGCTGAGAGGGCTGAGGGGCTGAGGGGGCTGAGGGGGCTGAGGGGCTGAGAGGGCTGAGAGGGCTGAGGGGGCTGAGAGGGCTGAGGGGGCTGAGGGGCTGAGAGGGCTGAGAGGGCTGAGGGGGCTGAGAGGGCTGAGGGGGCTGAGAGGGCTGAGGGGGCTGAGAGGGCTGAGGGGGCTGAGAGGGCTGAGGGGGCTGAGAGGGCTGAGGGGGCTGAGGGGGCTGAGAGGGCTGAGGGGGCTGAGAGGGCTGAGGGGGCTGAGGGGGCTGAGGGGGCTGAGAGGGCTGAGGGGGCTGAGAGGGCTGAGGGGGCTGAGAGGGCTGAGGGGGCTGAGAGGGCTGAGGGGGCTGAGAGGGCTGAGGGGGCTGAGAGGGCTGAGGGGGCTGAGAGGGCTGAGGGGGCTGAGAGGGCTGAGGGGGCTGAGGGGGCTGAGAGGGCTGAGGGGGCTGAGAGGGCTGAGGGGGCTGAGGGGGCTGAGGGGGCTGAGAGGGCTGAGGGGGCTGAGAGGGCTGAGGGGGCTGAGAGGGCTGAGGGGGCTGAGAGGGCTGAGGGGGCTGAGGGGGCTGAGGGGGCTGAGAGGGCTGAGGGGGCTGAGAGGGCTGAGGGGGCTGAGAGGGCTGAGGGGGCTGAGAGGGCTGAGGGGGCTGAGGGGGCTGAGGGGGCTGAGGGGGCTGAGAGGGCTGAGGGGGCTGAGAGGGCTGAGGGGGCTGAGGGGGCTGAGGGGGCTGAGAGGGCTGAGGGGGCTGAGAGGGCTGAGGGGGCTGAGAGGGCTGAGGGGGCTGAGAGGGCTGAGGGGGCTGAGGGGGCTGAGGGGGCTGAGAGGGCTGAGGGGGCTGAGAGGGCTGAGGGGGCTGAGAGGGCTGAGGGGGCTGAGAGGGCTGAGGGGGCTGAGGGGGCTGAGGGGGCTGAGAGGGCTGAGGGGGCTGAGAGGGCTGAGGGGGCTGAGAGGGCTGAGGGGGCTGAGAGGGCTGAGGGGGCTGAGGGGGCTGAGGGGGCTGAGGGGGCTGAGGGGGCTGAGGGGGCTGAGGGGGCTGAGGGAGAGCGTGAAGTGTGGGTTGATGGGATGATAAGATGGTAGGATGGGGATTAAGATTTTTTGTTGTTGTTGTGAAGGGTGGGTGCCCCACACTGCATGTGCCTTGCACCACACAAGCCCTGCACCATATGTGCCCTGCACCATATGTGCCCTGCACCATATGTGCCCTGCACCATATGTGCCCTGCACCATATGTGCCCTGCACCATATGTGCCCTGCACCATATGTGCCCTGCACCATATGTGCCCTGCACCATATGTGCCCTGCACCATATGTGCCCTGCACCATATGTGCCCTGCACCATATGTGCCCTGCACCATATGTGCCCTGCACCATATGTGCCCTGCACCATATGTGCCCTGCACCATATGTGCCCTGCACCATATGTGCCCTGCACCATATGTGCCCTGCTCCACACGTGCCCTGCAGCACCCGTGCCGTCCTGGTGTGTCAACCCCTCAGCGCTTGTTTCCCATCTGTTGGCGGCCCTCATGTGGACGCATGTCTCTGTATTCAACAACTATTATGCCCCCCCATGTATGACCCACCAATCTACAACCCACACCCGTGATGCTGAAGGGTATTTTTGAGAATTCTCAAAAATACCCTCTGTATTCAACAACTATTATGCCAACCCATTTAGGACCCACCAATCTGCAACCCACACCCGTACAACCCATCCGGATGTGACCAATCATATCCATCCCCATCCCCATCCACTCATCCCGCACCCATACAAACTTTGGAATCTGCTGCGCCCATCCCGTCAGCGGACTGCCCTCACGTGGATCCCTCTGTATTCAAGAGCTATGCCGTGGGCAGAATGGTGCTGCCCCCGTCCTCAAGAGCAATAGTGCCCCATCCCTGTGCGATCACCCATACAGGCTCTGGAATCTGCTGCGCCCATCCCGTCAGCGGACTGCCCTCACGTGGACCCCTCTGTTTACAAGAGCTATGCTGTGGGCAGAATGGTAATGTGAAACGTGCGGAGAGAATGGTAATGACTTTTGAGTCGACTCAAAAGTCATTTCATGGACTCCTCTGTTTTCAAGAGCTATGCCGTGCAAAGAATAGTAGTGGGCAAACTGCGGAGAGAATGGTAGTTTGTGCCGTCCGCAGAATGGTAATGTGTGCTACTTGATTTGATCGTAATCGCACCGAACCCTAAACCTGAAACCCTAATGTCCTCTGGGAGACTGTACAATCGCACATTTGATTCACTGTGTTCTGTCTGGTTGTACCTTGCTTACGAGGTTTGTTGAAGGCGGATGTCTCGCTGTAATGTCACTTTGAGATGTCTCGGCTCCCCCTGTTTTACTGTTTCGGTGTGGCTGTGCCTGTCACTTTGAACATCACACCCCCCTTCTCCCCCCTCCCCCCTCGGTTTGCTTGTGTGATCCTGCTGTTGGGAAACCATGCCAGACTGTGTCCAAGGGCCGGCAAGGTGCCGAAGCTCTGAATGTGGTTCGGGTAGGTTCGGCTTCTTCTTTTCTTTGTCCCTTTGCTCCGACAATATCTACTCTTGCATTGTCTTAAACGCTTCCACCACTCTCCTTCTATCCTGTCACACTTGCTTTGCTGAGAAAAAACCGTGCCCATCCCTTGCTCCTCCTCCCCCCCCCCCCCCCCCCCCCCCCCCCCCCCCCCCCCCCCCCCCCCCCCCTCCTCCTCTCTCCCTCCCTTCCGCCCACCAGGTCTTCCTAGCCAATCTTTGCAAAGATGCGACATGCACGTTGCACAGCAATCAGACATGCTTATCCGCCTCAATCAAGTTCTGAGGCACCTCAAAACTATAACTTCACACCCCCTGCCCCTTTCTCCCTCCCTTCCGCCACCAGGTCTACCTAGCCAATCTTCGCCTGCGCAACGTGCACACTGACGTGCTTATAACTGTCAATGAGCCACTCTTTATTAGGTACGAATCTCCTGTTGTCTGGCAGCTAACCCAATCTAGTGATGCATGCACCCTGCGTGCAAACCAATGCAGATGCAGATCCTGATGAGTCTGTTTTTGAGTCGACTCAAAAGCATGGCACCCTGCATGCATTCGAGTTGCACATGCAGAACCCGATGCTTGTTCTCTTTATGACTGCCTTGTGATATTTCTCAAGAAGCATTGGATAGAGTCCAATGCAACATGCAACAACCCCAGCTTTGTTTCTTAGGCGCCCCAAGAAAAAGAATCCCCTGTTGTCTGTCTGGCAGTTGAGCCATCCTGAGCCAATCTAGTGATGCATGCACCCTGCATGCAAACCAATGCAGATGCATAACCCGACGCTGCTTCCATTATAATGGCTTTCGCCATTCTTGGCTGCCATTCAGTTCAATAGGCAAGATGAACGCTAACATGCCATCGATCATGTCAAATATTACATCCCTGTCGTTTGTTGGTTCTCCTCCCACACACAATCTCGGCAGCTCCTGGTACTTTATAATCAGCTAGCTTAAAACCGGTTTTGAAAAAAGAACAGAAAGAAGGTATATCCTCACGTCTGGTGCATTTTTCTCCTCAAACGTGCGTGCGACAACAAGTCCTGCGGGCACAGCAGCTCTTGGTATATTGGATTGATTCTTGGGATTAATATGTCCCCATTTTCTGCCTCTAAACCCTAATCACCCTTTCTCTCCTCCCCCTTCCCCCACTACCCATTCCTTTCCTCGTGAAAACCACCACTCAGTGAGCGGAGTGAGAGTGCATCTGCTGCAGGGACGTCAGGAGTCACGCAGGCAGCAGTGCAGGAGGCGTCAGCAGGGGTGCTTGGGGCTACATCTGGCGGGCAGGTGTTTCAACGGCTGCTTGCCTCCTTCCAGATCAACGACTGGGGGCTGTTTGGGGTGCAAGAGTAGGAATCGAGAAGCAACAGCAGCAGTGGAGCGACAGCCATGCAGGCAGCAGCACAGGAGGCATCAGCAGGTGTGGTGGGAGCTACAGGTCGCAAGAGTAGGACCTGGGAGACAGAAGCAGCAGTGGAGCGACAGTCACGTAGGCAGCAGCACAGGAGGCATCAGCACGGGTGGTGGGAGTGACAATTGGCGGGAAGGTGTTTCAACGGCTGCTTGCCTCTTTCAAGATCAACGACTGGGGGCTGTTTGGGGCGCAAGAGTAGGATTAGCAGGTGGGGCGTTAGGAGCAGCAGCAGTGGAGCGACAGTCACGCAGGTAGCAGTGCAGGAGGCGTCAGCAAGGGTGGTGGGGGCTACAGATCGCAAGAGTAGGACCTGGGAGACAGAAGTAGCAGTGGAGCGACAGTCATGCAGGCAGCAGCACAGGAGGCATCAGCACGGGTGGTGGGGGCTACAATTGGCGGGAAGGTATTTCAACGGCTGCTTGCCTCTTTCAAGATCAACGACTGGGGGCTGTTTGGGGCGCAAGAGTAGGATTAGCAGGTGGGGCGTTAGAAGCAGCAGCAGTGGAGCGACAGTCACACAGGCAACAGTGCAGGAGGCGTCAGCAAGGGTGCGTGCTTGGGGTTACAGCTGGTGGGCAGGTGTTTCAACGGCTGCTTGCCCCCTTCCAGATCAACAACTGGGTGGCTGTTCGGGGCGCAAGAGTAGAACTGGGAGGGAAAATACGAACTGGGAGGCAGCAGCAGCAGGAGCGGGGAAGCAACAGACACGCAGGACTCAGGAGGTATTGACAGTGTGGGGTAGGCAAAGACCGTGGTTTAATTTTCTATCCTCCTGATTTAGGATGTCTGGGAGTTTGAACCAAGCAGCAGCCTGAGGGAGTAGCAGGAGCATAGAAGCAATGCAGGATGCATGGATAACAGGGTGAATCGCCCTGAAAAAGCTTAGCACCCTTATTTTTGAGGGCTGTTTAGTTTAGCGCTCTTCTCAGAAAGAGCAAATGAGCATACAGTACTAGGCTGATATTTCAGAGTGGACTGGTGGTATTCCTAGGTTGATGAGAAAGAGTGTTATTATGTTCTATACTGTCAGAATGAGGAATAGATGATGCATTGATGTTGGTTGAGGTACATATAGCTAACCCTAAGTTTTGTACCCCCTAAGACAATCCTCACTATAGGCTACAACATTTGACACACCCCCATAGCCTAAGTGAGGGGTGTCTAGCAGAACCAAAAGAGTACGGTCACAAGACCAGTCCAAGAAACAAAGCTCAGGGTGGATCACAACGTCACCACACACTCTGAGCACAAACACCAGTGGCCACAAGGCCAGTCCAAGAACTCACAAGATATACAGCAAATGTACAAGCAAGACAAACAGTCAACTCAAGTCTACACAAGACGAGAACCAGTGTCAACAAGGCCTAACTGCACACAACACCTCTGGTGGTCACAAGGCGGAAGCGCCTTGGTGAAGATGTCTGCAGTGTTGGCCTCGGACTCCACAAACTCGAAGCGGATCTGTCCACGTCTCTGCAACTCTCGCAGAAGAAAGTACCTGACGTGAATGTGCTTCACTCTGCTCTCCAGTCGCGGCTCTCGACAAAGGAGAATCGACGCCTTGTTGTCAGTGAACAAGGTCGGTGCAGAGCTCGGCCGCTCACCAAGGTCGGCAAGCAAGAACGTCAACCAACGCAACTCCTGTGCCGCCATGGCACCAGCGTAGATCTCAGCCTCAGCTGTAGAGGTCGAGACCGAAGAGGAGCGCGTGGACCGCCAGGAAACAGCTCCAGAACCCAGGCTGAAATAGTACCCCTGAGTAGACTTGTGAGTCTCAGCGTCGTTAGCGTAAGAAGAGTCACAGTGACCAGTAAGTACGACAGACTGCTGCCCTCCAAGAACTAGCCCCACGCCTGATGTCGTCGCTAGGTACTTCGCCACCCTCACAGCTGCTGTCCAGTGAACAGGATGGTGTCTCCCTGGCGCAACAAAGCGCGCAAGGACGCTGAGAGGGAAGGCGAGGTCCGGGCGAGTACAAGTCATCAGGTACATGAGGCAACCCACCAGCTCTGCGTAGGGACCACTAGGCTCAAACGGCTCGTCAGGAAAGGGTCCAGTGAGTCTGTGGTCAACAGCAAGAGGTGTGCGCTGTACTGTGGAGTGCTGAAGCCCGAACCGCTGAAGGACCTGCTGCACCATGTGTGACTGTGAAAGTGTAATGGTGCGAGCAGCTCTGTCCCTGGTGATCTGCAGGCCAAGGTAGTGGCGCAGTGCCACTCACGAGGGGCCTGGCGAAGACCGTAGACAGGTCGCCTCAGCCTCCACTGGGTCCCAGGAGGGAAGGTGCCAGTGAAGGCAGAGGGACGACGCAACCAGACCTCCTCGTGAAGACTGCCCTGAAGGAAAGCAGTGGAGAAGTCGAGAGAGTGTAACTCGTAGTCTCTCTGTGCTGCTACGTGTAGTAACACCCGAAGAGTGGTCATCTTCGGGGTAGGCGCAAAGGTCTGAAAGAAGTCAACTCCCTCGCGCTGACTGAAACCTCTAGCCACGTAACGCGCCTTGAAGACCGGGGGAGATCCCGGTGGCCGCTTCACCCTGTAGATCCACATGCCGTCGACTACGTTCGCCCCAGGAGGGGGAACCTCATCGACGTAGGTGCCTGTGGATCTATAGGAGGCCATCTCTGCGTCCATGGCAGCTCTCCACTGAGAGGCCCAAGGCCCTGACACTGCCTCAGCGTAAGTGCGAGGAGTCGGAATGTCAAGGGCGTCTGGGTCACCCTCAGGGGCGAGGAGCATGGCACAGAGATGAGGGGAAGCGGCTGCCAGGAACTCTAGCTCAAACTGCCTGTCCTCTAGGGCGTCACAGCCAAGGGCAGACACACCCCCGACGGCCAGAGGACTGGAAGGAGGAGCAGCCACAAGACCGGTGGCGAAGTCAAGGCGGCGGGTAGAGGCAAAGTCAGTGACTGCGGCAGTAAGAGCGGACACAGAGGACACAGAGGCACGAGGGTGAGTAACAAGCGAGGCGAGAACACGAGAGAGAACAGGACGGTACGTGCGGTAGTAGTCAGTGACAGGAGTAGGGAGCGACGCAGTGAGAGCCGACTCAGGAGGAGACGGAAGCACAGAC